TATATATATATATATATATATATATATATATATATTATTCGAGACGTTATCCCATATTTATGGAATTTTATATAGAATGCCTACAAGTTAAAATCAACTAGTTTTAGGTAAGTGGTAAAAAGAAATTAATGTGAATATAAACACAAATATATCCGCTTATATACTGCCACTTCACCTACTTACCTGAAAAATCATGTTTTGTTGAAATAAGATCAAGAATCTGAGCATCATGCTTAGGAGATTCGTCATCTACCAAAGAATGAAGTTTTCTGAAAGAGATTGTAAGTACACGGTATTTAGAATCGCCTGCTTTTATTATTTCTCAAAAGAAATGAATAAACGTATTTTACTTCCTAAGTTTAAATAACAACCAGAAGAAATACAAGAAAAAACTTTATCATTAATCACATTGAAACTAACCATAAAAAATTATGGTGTGTGTGTAGCTGGTTTATTTTCTTTCTCAGGATCGTGCTAGCATTAGTTTCTAAAGATTTTATTTTATGTGATTTTAACATTGCCAACGATCATGATGGTTAATGATGACGTTGTTTAAACACAAAGCAACACACTGTGTTGTATAAACGTCTTTAAGACACGGGGAATCAAACACTGAATTATAGCATTGTAAGCTCTTATACTTGCAGCTGACCCACCGCAAGATCTATTATGATAAAGCTAAATTTCAAACATATTGGCTTTGGTAGCTTAACCACTAGATATTATGTAATAAAAACAGTTAAACTTGTAAGTTTATGTGGCTTAATATTACTGGCGATTACATAAAAGCTAATTTTTAAGCATAGTGGTTTGTGCTTACTAAGATAATTGTGAAGATAAGCTTATGGTTATTATGACGAAGAGAATGGTTCTTTAAAAATCTTTCCTATATTAGCAATAGTGAGGAAGTAAGTTACAAATATGTTGGTGTGTGAGATTTAATTTTCTAGTGATTATGTGGAGCTATTATCTAAACATATTTGCTTGTATTCATAAAGTTATTAGTGGTCGTGATTGTTTGTTTAACGCTATCATGATCACGTTAAAGGTATCTCTAAAGCAAGTTGGTTTATGTTGATTACTTGCACTAGCAGTCATATCTGAGCAACTTCTAATATCTTAGTCTGTGCGGTTGAACTTTACGAGCGCTCCACGATCTGTTAACGTAGTAAAACTGCTAATGAATCCTTTTGTATTTTTTTTTTAATTTCTACATTATTTCTCGCGAGGAAAAACGTAAAGTGATATCTGCTTTGGTTTCGTTTTAGTAAAGATAGTGATTTTTTTTTATATTAAAACTTAAATTTGTTATTACACATTCGGAAGAGTTAATTAGTTTGTATTATTGCGTAAGGGAATGGCTTGGCTGTGTGACCCTTATGATTATGAGCACTGTATTAATAATTACTAAAACCAGTTGTACAAAGGTCGGACAGAAAAAGTCCTGATGGTGTGATTTTGAGAAAGGAATGTAAAACACAGGTATTTAACCCCCCCCCCCCCCCAATAGGAAATCGCAATTTGTGAGAGCGAAAGAAAAAAAAACTGAGAGAGGGAAGGAAGAAAAGATAAGCTGCCGACAAAAAACAAAACGTCTACAGAACCCAACCGATTCTTTCAGCGAACTTCGTAATATTGCTGGAGAGCTAGGCTAAAACTCGTACGGTACCCGTGGGTGTGGTATAAGAGTAACAGTCAATCACTTAACATGGATGGTGGTTGGTAGGATGTTTCTGACTGACTGCATTCCTTCTGCAGCGGATAGCCTTAGTAGCTTAAATACAAATACTTCTGCGAAAATAAGAACTCTGATTGAAGTTATGTCTCAAGTGTTTCTGGTATGTTTGTATTATTTGCAATATATTTTCTGAAGCCGAAAATGTAATCTTCCCGATAAAAGCAGTTAAAAAACTTATGAAATCTACTTTAACTCCATCCTTAAAAGAAACCTGCAGTATTTCAGTTTTTACGGCTTTCAAAAGCAAAACAAAACTATAAACAAAGACAAATTAAATGTTTTTCCTCTGAAATTGGATCTTCTTAGTGCACAATACAATGGTTAGAATCAATAAATATTAACATGCTATTCTTGTTTATCATCTAATGAAGTTAATAAAGAAATATCAAAAGAAATTTTTTGCAGACATCTAATCACTTAAAACTATAATTTCTATGAGAAGTGAACATCAAAGTGTTTTAGTTATTTCATTGGAAAAATATCCACTACTAAGGACAATCCGTTTACCATACACTCTAATTAATAATTTTACGACAAATCACATAGCTATGTTGTTTAATTTTGTTAATTAAGATATACAGAAATATATTTATTCATTGTCCATATAGCTGGATAACAGAAAAGTGGAGTTTTCACAAGTGAAATAAATTGCAGCTCAAAATCGACTATATTTTGTGTAACTTTTATTTGTTGTAACCAACAGAGTGCATAAATCTTTTAGCAAAGCATCTTGTGATCTGATACTTAATCTTGAAACTTCAAAATTGTTTAGACACGTAAAAGCATTCATGCGTTTTAAACCTTGTGGTGAATTTAATCTAGTTTAAATGTTTACATAATCTCTTGCTCGAAGAGCCGAGTCAGTGTAGCTTCCTAATTCGATTAGGATTTATAGTTAGATAAAGAATGAAGGTATCTCTGTTTCTGCACTTATGTGTTCATAATACGAGAATAAGCTTCGGGATGTATATACTTTGTGGTGATATTTATAAAAACAACAACTGCTCTTAAACTAATGATATACGCATACATGTATCTCATGATTACTAATTGGTTATTTCATACTTTATTATGTTTATTAATAACAGTTTCACTCGCATTTGTTCTGGTTTTCAATTTAACATGGAAGTTTTAATGAAGTGAAAGTCAAGAAGAAAAAGATGAATACTAAAATTAACAATATACTCTAAGCAAACCTTAAGGGTTCAATCTATTTCCGTATAATACATGATATATATATATATATATATATATATATTTAAATTATAAATACAATATCGTAGTTTTATCAAAATCCTGAAGTTATATAGTGGAGATAAAAATGTTCACTATTCCACATCAGTGAGCTGTAGAACAATAACGACATTGTAAAATGACCTTGCATCTGGCGAGCCCTATTGTATCCACGCTAATATTGATGAATCTTCACGAAACATCCTTGCTCTGACATTTTTTAAGGTGATAAATATTACTATTATAGCATTAGCAGTTATTTGTTTTTATTAAGTAATTCAGGTAAACGTTTCACCTACGATGTTTTAGAAGAACCAGGAATGTCGTGTTTTCCTAGAAATAACAATATCAATAATAAGAAAAATATTATCATTGTGTTAATGTATTTATTAAAGTGTATGTTATTTCACATGTATGTGCACCAAAATAACACACCAAAAAATATAAAAGGTTTCGTGAGAAAGATATTTGAATGTGAACCTACGAAATAACTAAACATGATATCAGACAGAAAGTAAAAAAAATGGAAATTTAAATAGCTCAAGGTTTTTCTAAATGTGGTTCTATGAAATAGTTTAATATTAGATCAAACGCCAATAATGGTAAAAGACGACAATAAAGTCAAGGCTCATGCTCATATGTGTACTAATTTATAAAAAGTTAGAGCAGCGGGCACGTGCCACTTCTGTCCTATGTGTTAGACGTCTAAATTGGTGTCAAGTTTAATACTTAGATGCAAAACAAAATAAACTTACGGAATTTCAGTCAACAAATAATCCAATAAATAAAGCCAAGTAGAGTGTATAAATACCAATTGGTTAAGTATGAATAAATGGTTTCAAATATATTCTTACTTTTCTGTTCTCTCCGTTCCTTTGGCGTCTGTAAAATAATAAGTCGATTTTTCAGCTAAGATAAACATAACTGAGACTACAGAATACAATGACAAACTTCAATTAGTTTTGGCTGTCAAATAGATTTAAAAAAATCTCAGACTATATGTCTACTTGAGCTTTTATTTTCAGATATCATAGGAAATAACTAGAAAAAAAGCCTTCTTATTCGAAAATTGCTAGCAGAGTCAAGTTGAAAAAAGCACATCAGAGACTGAGTGTTTGATAAATTAGAAATATCAGCCTCTGTAAAATAAATGATAAATTTCTTAAACGAAAATAAATCAAAATAAGAAACTTTCAAAAAAATAACCGGTTTGGCTATATAATGATGGCATTTGGACATGTATTTTTTACATGATATTGATAACAATAATATGAAATAAATATATTTACAAAATATTTACGAATAACAATAAAAAATCGATATAGTAGTATAATGTTCGTTTGGATGATAAACAAAGCCAGGATCTAAGTTTTCTTAAGTGTAGGGCCAGATTGACAGTAATTATAATTACATTTGAGTTAGAACCTCAGATTGAAAACATTAATAATAATAATGTGGATAAAGGAGCTATAAATATTGTTTTTTTAGATTTAAGGTCACGAATATTCACATTTATGCTGAGAAACATCAATAAATGTCGTTTGATATGTTTTAATGTAACACGCACAGTATTTTAGGTTTTGACAAGAATCTATATAAATATAATAGTACTGTTTGTTGTATGTCAATGTAACTACTTCGCAGGGTGTGGATAGATCTTCAACAAAAATTGGCATAGAGGTTTATTAGGTCCATGCAGGGGTACATACAAATTTACAGTTTTGCATTTTGCCCTTTTTTGTTTTTATGGGCGTTTTTAGATTTTTACCACTATTACGCCTCCTGCAGATGGATCTTCACCAAATTTGGTATGGATATTTATTAGGTCCATGAGGAGATATATACAAATTTTAAGTTTTGCATTTTGCGATTTTTATGAGCGTTTTTAGGTTTTTACCACTACCTTGCCTCCTTTTGACGGATCTCCACCAAATTTGATATAAAGGTTTGTTAGGCTCATGGGGAGATAAATAAAAAATCTATAATTTTGCATTTTGCGTTATGCGGTTTTGATGGCGTTTTTGCATTTTTTACCACTACCACATCTATTGTTGATGGATATTCACCAAATGTGGTATGGAGGTTCATTGCGTCTATAGAGAGATACATCCAAATATTTCAGTTTTGCGTTTTGCAATTTTTTATTGGTATTTTTGTGTTTTTTATCTCTAATTCGCCTCCGTTGATGGACCTTCACCAAATTTGGCATGGATATTTGTTGGGTCCATGCGGAGATATGTGCAAATTTGTGGTTTCACACTTTGTTTTTAATGGGCGTTTTTGCGTTTTTTACAATTACATAAAAGGGAAACAACTTTTCATGTCCCAAGATAACCTTTCATTAAACATGAATTTACATAACTTCCGTTCAGGGGACGGGTGCTCCATCTAATATAGCAATAAGTTTGTGAATGAGAACCTAGAAAATCAACGGAATGTTTGGCGAAGTAGCCCACAATAATACTCAATAATTATCCATTTAGTTGAATTTATTAATTATGCTAACATCATTTAATAGTTGAGTGATTATAATATTTCTGTCTTTGAATTCTGTCTAATATGTTGTACAAATATATTGCTGCACAAATATTTTATTATACATCATTTTTAAACCATATTTCATAACTGTACCATTTAAACTATGTACTGTATTGGCTAAAGAGTGTTACCGATGAGGTCTCTTCTCAATAGCAGAGCTCATCGTACAGACTAGGTAACAATAGCCAATATTTTAGCTAAACCTGCTTGTATTAATAATATATAGACATCGTGCTTTAACGCTCTCACTAATATAGAAGAAATGATTCATTTTGTGTACTTTAATATCTTTCACCAGTTTACGTTTTTCACGTTGACTTTCAAAACCAAATGTTTTTCTGCTGCATTTGTTCGTACAAATAATGTAATTTCTCTAATACTCTATGTATATACTTAGTAATTTATAAAAAATACTTACTATGCATATAATAATATTATAGGTAATTCAAATCCAATAAAATACACCACGTATGTTTCAAATCTCTTTCCAAGTTATTTCTTTCAAGCAAACGTATTTATAGATAAGTACTACTACATATAACACAAAGTGGTTCAAGAGATAGTTGCCCTAGAGCAGTATGATAGTTATTTTGTAATTTTCGTCTGTTTCAGGCTAATGTACGAGTACAGCTCTGTCTGTATGTGTAAACAGTATGGCGTACAGACTGACAAAGGGCTAATGTGTATATCAAATAGTATCCAGATAGATGAGACTTAACTAACTTTTGGGCCACCACGTACATACAATCTTTGAACAGATATAAACTTTAACCCAATCGTTAAATATTCTAAATGGTAAACTAATAGGGATTACAGTAATAGCTATAGAAATTATCAAGTTGAGAAATATTAAATAATCAGCTGGTAGTAATCATAGAAATATTTAAACGTAATTATAATTATTTATTGTCAAACTAACCACTGTGAGTAGCTACAAAACAAGCTGGGAATAGAAGTTATAAACGGTATTGGTGGTACTTAAATAAAATTATATGAGGTAATAACGATGAAGTTGTTTCAGAAATATTAACTACTGTATACTTTAGACATAACAGCAATTAAGAAAGCTTGAAAGCGCTAATTGCGATATTAGATGGAGCTGGAAGCTATAAAATATGTTATTGTTTTATTATGTATTATAACCTTGAAATTATCTCGAAAGCTTTTGCTAAGACATAGTTCAAAGGTAAGAGCTCTCCAAATGAAGGGGTACCAGTTTTGAAACATGTGCTTTAAAACAAAACTTACCTCGATATTCTAGTTGTTGAGAACGATAACGTTTCAGAAGGACTTTAGTAAGAATGAGGATGATTAAAACAATCAAAACTCCGAATATAATGCCCATTATTAGAGGAAGTTGGACTGTTTCCATTACGATAGCTAAAACAGAAGAACCTATTATTTGGATCTTAAAAATTCTGTGTAAAGCCTTATATATTAGCACACATTGTCTGATAGTAAACATAAAAAAAAGTCATATAAAATACACAAATACAATCATATCTGACTGGTAATTATATAATTTTATTCTACGTATAACATGTTGATCAATATGTATATAAGACTTACATATATTTAGGCGTTAAGTCTAGTGCTGTGTTTGTAATTTTACATATAATTAATTATACAGTTTAGAATATTACTTGCAACATCATTATTGTTTTTTGTTGTGTAAGCTCTTTAATTGCCTTTTCTGTGTTCCATGGTCTGGCTCTGATGGTCTAATTATTTTATATAGTTACATTTATTTATATCAGAGATAAAATGAAAATCTTTCCAGTCTAAATTAAATAAACCTGTTGTTAATTCGTTTTTTTTTCGCCTTTTTTTTTACTTTAACATCTATTGGGTTTTGTTCAGTTGAAAGAAACAGAACTTTTTAAGGTAAATAATACACAAAATGCATTATAATCTACTCTACACACTGTAAAAATAAGTTCAGAATCGTAAAATAATTTGCGGTATTTTCTGATAAATTCACAGAAAAACTCATCGTTAAATGTTACAAAAATTTACTCTAAAATAACTATTTTAATCTCCGTTTTGAGTGTTTTTGCTGTTATTGTACAAGGAAATATCCTTAATTAACGGGTTTCCACATAAAATATAGTGTTTTGCTATGTATTTCGAGCGCTTTCCTCTGTCATTCCACAAAGAAATTATTTTAAATTTATGTTTATTCCATATAAAATGTGTTTTTATGCATGTATTGCTAGTGTTTCTTCACTGTCAATCTACAAAAATATATTTTAAAAGTAATGTTTAATCCACATAGAATAATGGTTTTAATATATATTTTTCTGTTTAAAATTTCACACAAAAACACATTAAATGTTTTATAAATATAAAATAACTTGTATATGTATAATAAATTTTGACAAGGTGAGCTGCATGGTAAGAGTCAGAACACTAACTTTTAGTAGGAAAATTTAACTGTGTATAAAATTAAAGGTTTCAAGTATCGCACTTCACTGTAAGTTCAAAGAAATACTGTGTTTTTGCTGTCAAATTATTTTTAAACGATTTCACTTTGAATTCAGTGGATATATAGTGTTTTAAAATGGTTCTACACACTAAAAAGGTTACGCATAATTTCAGTGAAATTAAAGTATATATTTATTTTTATAGTATTTTTACGTTATTTTTATTTTAATGTTTTAACCGTACTTTAAAATACAGTTTTTAACATTGGAAAATGCCGGTAAATTGCATATATTTTTACAGGACGTTTTTTTTACAGTGTAGCTTTCAGTCTCAGAACCATCGGTTAAATATTTGTAAATGAAAGAACAGTTATGAAAAATAATATACATTTCCAAAAACGTTTCTTTGTTTTATACGAGCAAAGCTGCATAATGATATTTAACGTTAAAATCCCTCAACCTTAAGCTAACTCCTCGAGAGGGTGACTTTCAAAAATGCACATATGTAAACGTTCAACACAAAAGCACTTACTATAACTTAAAATTAAGATAGAAATCTATTGAAGTTAATAAGCTACACTATAGTTCGTCCCTGCGCTTAAAAAACATCATAGATATTTAAATGGTCCATGCTAAAAGTGTTTTAGCAAAATAATGGAGTAAATATCATTTTTCGTATGAAAACCACACCTTTAAAAATTTACTGAAACATTTGAACATCTGATAAATAATGCTTAAGTTGTATATATATATATTCAAATGTTTGTGAGTTATTGTTCAATGCACAAAAAATAAATGATAGTTTGATTCATTGCATCATGCTCTTAATATTGATTCATAAAAAAGTGAGAGGGTATGTTTTTGTAGCACATTAAATGTGATAAGAAGGCAATAAAAACAGGAACTTACCGTTTTCTTTTAACATCGGTTGTTCACCCAGAGTAGTAGCTCGAAGAGTAACTAATGGGCTTCTCCCTAGAGAATTTACGGCATAAATGACGAGTATAAATGTTGACCCTGAAGGCAGTGAAGAAATGAAGAAAAAAGGAACGTCTGGAGAAGAAATATTTGTTAAAAGTTGTTCTTTTTCTTCGGTGAGTACTTCAATCTGAAAGTGCTGTGATAACCCTCCATCGAATCCTTCTAAGCAACGAACAGCAAGTGTTTCTTTTGTTTTATTGATGATGGCACAGTTAGTGAGCGATTCTGGAAGACCTTCGAGGAAAATATAAAACATTTGTTCAATAAGTTAATTGCTAAGATATTTTAATTTTGAAGTTGTTTAACTTAATAGCATTTTTCATAGTATTCATGAAAAATATAAAGCCGAGTAATACTTAAGTATATTAGGATTAAAACTGATTTGTATGAATTTCTGCAAAAGTATTATTTACCAGTTTTCGGCAATCACTAACTATAAATGGCTTATTCCCTTTGTCATTCTGCGGGGACGCTTTCATGCTCCTGTTTTGGTAATGCTCAACAATATACATCGTTGCTTAGCAATAGAACTATCATCTGATCAACTATGGTGTTTATGTTGAATGCTCCATATTCATGTTGATTTGTTAGAAAGGTTTGTTTTATTCTTTCTTTATTTTTTTGATAAATTCGGTGATATAATTGCAAAATCGTTCAATGTAGAAGTTTTATGAAATTGAGTTATAGCCAAAAGCAAAATAAAATTTACCAAATAGTGTTTCAACTAAGCCTTACGTTCGTTTATGTATTAGGCCTAACACTTAAATGAGACTACAAATAGGCTTACTATTACAAAAGTTATAGAGTCAGTATTAAAAACGCATTTATTAATTAGCTGCAGAGTAAGAGTTACAGTGGATTCAAATGAAAGCATGTTTTTTTCTGGTATCAAATCATGCACATAGATCTATAAGTGATTTAGAAGGGACAATCCTAAAAAAATAAACGAATTTAATACTTACACTAAAAGGTATATTTCATTTACTAAAGGGGATATAAGCGACAAATAACTCGAATGTTTCTAAGATTATTATTTTAGCCTGTTGTTAAGATAAAAAAGAAACATTCACACAATATCTGTTATGTGTTGAAACACGACTTACTATCAATCAAATGTTTCTCTGTGACATTGTTTCGCTCTACTCAATACAGTTGAAAGGTCTTATACAAAAACGTTTAAGTCTCTAATGTTTAAAGTGGAAGCTGCTTTTTAATAACACTTCAATTCTCTGTATGATGAACAATGTATGAACAAGACGTATTAAAGAAAATGAAATACAAACAAATGGTCAATCAAATTAACAATTTAATACACAATCTTAATACACGACAATTTTACAAAATAATAACAAAAATAAATTCTAAGAACAATTTAAGTTCACGATATAATTTGTTTGGACTGTTTATTCGTTGAAAGCTAAAAAGTTAAGTAAAGTATTTAGAATGGACTACAGGTAGTGCTAATTAATTAGTTCATATCAATAGAATGCAGTGTAAGATCATCTCTTCTATTGGTTAAAAATGTACATTAAAATGTGTTAATAGCAGAAACTGATTTACCTCCAGGATAGATTTTGTACTTGCACGGAATTCTTTGACGTCCCACCTGATTTTCTGCCCAACAAAAGAGCATTCCATATTCACTATTTTCCCGAAGCGATAGAGTGGTAACACTTGTCGTATGGTGACTTACAGAGGTTTTCATGGACGTTATACCCAATGTATTATTAAGGGTCCAGTGAAATTTGACATCCTGTGGTGTTGAGTTCACGTCACACGTAACATTCGTCTGTGAACCAGGTAATACTGCAATCATTTTCACATGAGGTTCTTTGCATGTTGGTAGATCTGATGGAAGTGAATTTTCGAAGTTTACTAAATAATTTTAGTTTTATGCGTTTGAAGAATATGTTAAGATTAGAAACTTGTTGCTTTATTGTCATATTGTTTAAGCTAATTAAGTTGAATAAGCTAATTCTTTTAATATGGTAATTTATCTTTAGGCGAAAAGGCTAACCTGTAGACACCCTGTTTCACATATGAAATTCTATGAAGATTGACCTATAGATATTCAGTTTGATATATGAAATTCTATGAAGATTAACCTTTAGACATTCAGTTTGATATATGAAATTCTAAGAATATTATAATCATTAGATATCCAGGTTGATATATGAAATTCTATGAAGATTAACCTGTAGAGATCCAGATTGATATATGAAATTCTATGAGCATTTACCATTAGACATCCAGGTTGATATATGAAATTCTATGAAGATTAACCTGTAGAGATCCAGATTGATATATGAAATTCTATGAGCATTAACTATTAGACATCCAGTTTGATGTATGAAATTCTCTGAACATTAACCATTAGACATCCAGTTTGAAATACGAAATTCTATGAAGCATGTAATATAAGATGTTATTCATCTACATAAAAATGCTCATTTTTTGCAGGCAGGAAATCTGAGGCAGAGAGAAACTCTACTACATGTGGGTGATTACAATAAGCTACTTCTCAGATGAAACACCTGTGTTATTGTATAAAAACACGTGTCTCGTAAAGTTACTTAGGTTTGCGATAATAATTGAAAATAATTCAAAACAATATTTTAAAAGCATAAATACCACGTTTGTTTGTTTTTTACGAAAATATGAATTTCTTATCAAAAGGAAGCTTCAATTTATAGACCGCATTTTTTGCGGCATTGTGAAATGAATCGTGGATTTTCAAATTCACAGCCCGACAAGCTAACTACTGGGCCATACCCTACCAATTCTTGAACAAGTTTTTACCATTTTTCGTCTTGGAAATATTGTCAGTTGCATAAGAAATATACTTCTTTCAAAAAGGAGTGTTTCTTTACTTATTTAACAATGCTGTTAAGCAAAGTAATTGATTGTTACGATATTTATTCATAACTTAAAAATTAATAGAGCCATTTAAAACTGAAAATCATTGTAATTGAATAGAATGGCACAGAAATGGATAAATACAATAAACAACAAGCAGCTTTTCTTCACTCCAACGTTCCCCTTCCTGATTTGCGGCTCCACATTGGTATTTCCCACTGTGATGACGTTGGACATTCCTAACCACAAGTGATTGATTATTTACAGTGATGTCAGTTTTCAGGTCTGATGATAACGTGGAACCATTAAAATGCCACCACACGTTAACTACGGGTGGATTAGCTTCCACAAAACAATCAAAGTGAACGTCATCTCCTTCCGCTACGACGTTTTCATTACGCTGAGATCGAAATTTAATCCACACTTGTGGAGTATCTGTAGAAATATATAATATGTTATAAATTATGTTAGTTAATGTTATTCCTGTAAATTATTTTAGATATGCTCATAACATTATGGGTAACAATAGTTAAATGGTTCGTATTTAAAGAAAAAGCTAATCAACTTAAAACTTTGGAAAGTTTTAATTTGACCTAAATAGCATCTTTCTTACGTATTATAAATCGAATTTTTTTAAGCTGAAGAAAAGAACTAGAAAGTGCAAAACGTTATGGTTTATATATATATATATATATATATAATCGAACTTTCAGTTATAATGACAACGTATTAAGCTATTTAATTATTTTGCTTTGAGTAAGTTTTTGTTCTTGGAACACGCGATTGCTTTAGAAATTAATGATGTTTATAAATGATTAAAATAAAATGTAGATAAATTATGAGACCACAGTAAAAAATTACGTACAAATATAACACATATAGCTATAAGGAATCATATTTAAAAACTCTTAAGTCAGTTTGTTTGAATTTACACTGTAATTTGTGTAATATTTCGTGAAGGGTAATCAATTCTAGGTATTGTTTTCAATTTATGCTACGAAATAAAAATATGAACCTGTCCAATCTACAATACATTTTTACTTTTATTAGACTTATTGAGAGTTTTACACAGTAAATTGTGTGTGTGTGGTTTGTTCTTCAGTGAAGATTAAATGGTATAGTTTAAACTATTTTGAATATATATATATATATATATTGTTCATACGAACTTACAGTAAACCAAAAGTTCCCACATGTCCACTATGACGCTTTCTTCCAGAAGTAAGTTTTCAGCTCTACAAGTTACGTTTTTTCCGTTATCTTCAATTCTAGGGATGAAGGATACAGTACTAACTGTGTGGTTCCCGTCAGGAGACACAACGTCTGTTACGGTAGTAAGACGTTTTCTCCCCTTCCACCAAGTTACTTGAGCTGGTGGTTTAGCTCCCCAGGTTTCACACACGAGTTCTGCTGGTCGGTTTGCTGTTAAAGGTTTGTTAATAGTGCTGATACTGACGTCTAAGGGCTTCACTAAGCAAATAAAAGAAAATTATGCTAGATTGATCTATGAAAAGTTATTTCAGTGCTAAAAACATTTGTTTTTGCGATTTTTACCAATACGTCCCCCCCTGTTGATGGATCTTTACAAAATTTGGCATGAAGATTTGTTTGGTCCATGGGAAGATACATGCAAAGTTGAGGTTTTGCATTTTGTGTTTTGCCGTTTTATGCCCTTTTTACAGTTACATATAAGGAAAGTAACTTTTCTTGTCCTAAGATAACCTTTCATTAAACATGAAATTACATAACTTCCGTCCAGGGGACGGGTACTCCAGCTAGTTACTAATACTTCATTAACTTGGGAAGATAGATAATTTTTTTAAAATATCTGTTAATTAAACAAGTGCACATAAAAACCGCAAAACGCAAAATTCAAAATTGAAAGTCTGTATGTACTTCTGCATGGACCTACTGAACCTCCACTCCAATTTTGGTGAAGATCTACAAACACCCTGCGAAGTAGTTACATGGACATACAACAGACAGTACTATTATATTTATACAAATACGTCAAATTAGATCATCATCAATGGGCATATGTTAGCAACAGAAACGTGGGAGTTATCATGAACATGTGTAGCAAGGCAGTACTTAAATTTACAAACATGAAGATCAACTCACTGGGATTCTGTTTTATATACCAACCTTTTCCTCTTGTTACGAAGTGCACATACCATATAAAACTTAAGGTTTTCCAGTAACATCTTACTGTCATCTGGTATTACCAAAATATTTTATTCAAACGTCTGTTGCAACGATCAGAAGACAGCATGTATGTGGAATGTGGTAAATATGTTTAAAGCGGTAAGAATGGATCTTTTGATTTATGTGCTAGATTTCAACAGGTTTACTTGGGTTACTGAACTCGTGGGTGAGGTATTAGAATGTGCTTGAAATATATGGCACACTGAAGGACAAAAGAAACCAACTTGTAAGACTAAAAAATGCGCTTAGCAGCTGACAAATATCATATATTTTGAAATGCTCTACAAGGGTAATGTTTTTCTTCTTTCGCTTCTTGTTTAAAAAATTAAATTTCTATCTCGATTTTTCTGTTTTGTATACAATTAACGCATTACTCCATACAGGTTCTTGTACTTAATTACACACCTTGAATCACCTAAACAAAATAGGAAGATATACAGGAGAATATAATACTTTCACTTTTGTAGTAAAGTTATTTATCACGGAACTCATTTATTGCTACAAATAAAATGCAAAAATGTTTTTATTAAAATAGCATTGTCATTAAAACTGGTTCATTCGAAAAGTAAACTTGTGATAAAACTTTATACCATTTATCATAAGCTTATATATTTTTTACCAGCAACGATAATTACAGGTAATGTTATATTCGTATTACAAAGACGCAACTCACAGTAGAGATCCACAGTCACTGTACTCGATATTGGAGAAGTGAGATTAGTATTGGAAGCTTTGCAGGTTAGAGAAATGAAAAGGTCTTCACGGCGAAATTGATGCAATAGGATCTCGTTTCTTGGAAATCCTTGTGGCGTTAGAGTATAGTTGGCCTGGAGCAGGCAATCTCCCTTCCACCAAGTTAGAGCAGGAGGAGGAATTCCTAAGAATAGGAAAAACTTTATTATTTTTCTACCTAAGGATAATTACATTTATTATATGGCAGAAATGTACATGAAAAACTAAGCTGGTGAAATATGTAATGGGTTTGGAATCAATAAACACAAAAATATTTAACGAAATACCTGACAGCTTACTTAACAACTGCAGTAGCATACGTGGTATATTTCCTAAATATGAAATTGAGTGATAACACTAACAATTAATTAACGTATTTGTATACAAAAAATAAAATAAAATAAACTCTTACTGGCTACTACAAAAAAATGGAGTATTGTGAAATTAACTGTACTACAGTATCTGATTTCAAAAGTAGATTTATAGTTATTAAATAATCATAAAGATTAGTTTCAAATTCAGTTTAAAGAACTTTACCATCCCCCCCCTCCCAAAATGTGTTGTGTAGGCTTTGGGTTTCTGAACTTAACCGTTCTACCCACTGATGTTGACATACGGAGTACATGGAAACTTTATAGTTGATACTATGTCAATAATTGATTTTATAACCAAATTAAACCTAATGATTGAACTGAATCAAATATGAAACACAATGTAGTCATTTTACTATCTATAAATTTCTGTCACTAGTTCCTGCAAGTAAAAGTCACAATATATTGATAATAATGCATATTTATTCTCATTAAAAAAGTCGACTAAACGTTTATCTGATGTGAAAATAAAATTATTTGTTCAAAGCGAAAGATACCATTAAGTTAATAAACGACTGACGCTTTTTTATTCCTGGGTTCATTCCAGTGGAGTTTTAAGAGGAGAGCAATAATAAAGTATAAGTGTGCTGCATAAATAATCAATTTTTTAATATTTTGACTGAATGACAGCTATATAAATAACTTAATTACGTAAACACTTTACTTAGGATTTAATGTCCACATATTTATGATAGAAGTTTGTCAAGTGAATCATTTTTGACACAATAGAAACATAGAGAGAAATGTATTTCATTTTTTGAGTAATAAAATATGAATGAGCAAAAGATATTCTAAATAAAATGGTAACAAAAACTTTAACCCTAAATTGGTGAGTAACAATTTTAATCAACATAAGTTTTTTATCTTCTTGATCTTCTAGTTTTAGACTGGTAATACAAAAAGAATGTTGGTAGAGGAGAAGGTTTTATCACAGCTTTAACCCTAAATTGGTGAGTTACAATTTTAATCAACATAAGTTTTTTATCTTTTTGATCTTATAGTTTTAGACTGGTAATACAAAAAGAATGTTGGTAGAGGAGAAGGTTTTATCACAGCTCGGAACCTTCAAAGTTAAAGTACAATTTTCGCCCTAATATTTCGTTACTGTCTTTCTATATTACATGCACCCATATAAGTTTTATGTTCAAACTTTATGTAATGTACGTACCTAAACGTTAGGCTTCAGGTCGTGTTTATTACACACATCTGTACTTGTAAGAATAGGCGATGATCATAAATTTCTTATTTTCATTATAGCAGTTCTACATTAAATATAAATATCTACTGTTTTATATGTAGATAGATACATATGCAGAGGGAAAGAGGTATATATATTTTCGTATATGAAAAATATAGGCTTATTAGTTATTTTAGTAAAACATGCAAATAGATATATAAAACATCTGTAAATAATGTTTTGCATTTAATAACATATTCAATAATATATTATTAATTATTCTAATATGTATTAAACTTTACCCATATTACTAAGGCAATCTTAACAAAAATGAATCTGAATATTATTTGAACATAAATCTAATTTATAATTAAATAAATGCAGGTACATCCCAATTCGCAGTATAAAACTTGGTGTACATTATTTTTTTTTTAAACTGAGTGGACAGATTTAAATTTAGATAAGAACTCTATATGAAGGTCCCCGGGTGGGACAGCGGTAAGTTTACAGACGTGTAAATCTAATAACCGTAGTGGTGGACATAGCAGATAGCTTTATGTGGTTTTGTTCTAAAACAGACCAGAAATATGGATGGAAAGAAAAAGCGCCAGCTAAATAAAAACTTTTATTGTGGACGTTTTTTCGGAAAAATAGCTCACCCCCATCAGCCTCGCAAATCAGTAGTAATGACGTATCTTCCTTGTAGGGTCCAATCAAATCTTTAAGCCTTTGTCCATATGTGTCCATTATAATGGTTTCTCTAGGAAGAACTATGTAAAATAAGAACGTAAGTATTTATCAAACATTTTAAGAATAACGATACATATCAGCTTCATATTAATTCATCGACTCATTAATCACAGTTTATAATCCGTTTTGAATCGCAAACTCTACTTAAAAAAAACAATTCATAGATCAAATTGTTGTTTGAGCTCATGTGTTCGGTAATGTTGCTCAGATGAACACACAAATTGTTCTACTAATCACAAAGACACAATGGAAAAAATAATAGTATCAAATATCTGCAACCAATTAAAATATTGTCTTTGGGAATGCTTTAGTTAACTAAACGCTTTTGTTATCAATTATAAAAAGTTGTTTTCTCTCTCTTTTTCACTGGTTTAACTTTGTTTTGGAATGCTTACATTATTTTTTAGATAGCCCCCCAGTGGCACAGCGGTATGTCTGCGGCTTTACAATGCTAGAAGCCGGGGTTTGATACCCGTGGTGGGCAGAGCACAGATAGCCCATTGTGTATCTTTTTGTATAATTACAAACAAACAACCTTTTAGATTTAATCATGGTAAAGTCATCTCTTGAGGTTCATCTCCATAACCTCCTTAACATAATATTTTCCAAACATTACACCTTCATTAGGTCGGAGTTTGAATAATAAATTGTGTATGGAAATGTTGAAATCTCAGAAAGTTAGTGAACATTAAGTCATGCTCCACCAAAACGTTTTGTTATTGTTATTTTCCCTGTAAAAATGTTTCTGGTATAAATAATATTCGATTAACTAATGCTTCTTAAGGAATGATAACACCGGTCTCTGTTTATCGAAATATCGCAAATCATTCGTCGTCAGTGAGTTTAAATTATAATTTCAAAATATTTTAACACATATTAGCTTGTGAAGCGAGGTGTATGGCAAACGAAAAGTGTTTTTTTTTTCCTTACCAGTGGCACCGGTTGTGTAAATCTTATATGTGTTATATGATCGGTTAAACAAAACAAACATGAACTTTACTTATAGAATATTTCGTAAATCGTATTATAGATTTGGGGAAATATGTTATATCAAATGAAGCATTCTATCATTCAAGTGTTTTTTGCATATTTCTCCGTCCTCGCTTCCTTCTTTTTTTTTCCATTCTATATGCTTCTTACGTTTCAAGGCTGAATTTTTTTATCATAGATAACTTATAATGAACTGGGAAATATCTTATATCAAATGAAGCATTCAATCATTCAAGTGTTTTTTGCATATTTCTCTGGCCTCGCTTCCTTCTTTTTTTTCCCATTCTCTATGCATTTTTCGCAAATAGTGTATGTTTCAAGGCTGAAACTTTTTACCATAGATAACTAACTTATAATGAATTTTGGGTTTAAAATGTTTTATTTGATCCTGAAAAATTCTGTTGTAGTCACCATATATGACTCGTAACATTCTTAGAATGTGCGACTTCAAACGAAAAGATATCTCGAAATGAAATGAATTGTATTCTTTAGATTGGCTTCAGCTTTTTTATCAACGTTTTTTCATAGCTCCAAAACAAAACTTAAAAATTTAGCTGATGCGACGTGATTAATGTCAGTATAAAAACGAAGCTCTCATTTGAAAAAGAAAGTTCTAAAACAAAAATAATTTTATCTATGGATATATTAAGATACGCTAAAATATAACAACAAAAAACAATTTAAATACATGAGAAATACTTAAAGTATCTTACATTAGCAGCCCCCAGTAGCACAGCGACATGTCTGCGGACTTAGAACGCTAGAAACCAGGTTTCGATACCCGTGGTAGGCAGAGCACAGATAGCCTATTGTGTAGCTTTGTGCTTAACTTCAAACAAACTAACATTAGCGTTACCGAGCGAAGCCCAGTGATTAGATAGTCAACTATAGATTTGAGTCTCTCGTTCTTGCTCTATTACTTCCTCTTTTAAAAAATATATAAATAAATCATGTTCCGCACTTTGGGGCTGTGAATGCGATATAAGAGTGACAGTCAAATCCCATTATTCGGTCAGACAAAAGTACCCAAGAGTTGGCGGTAGGTGCTGTTGACCAGCTGACATCCATATAGTCTATCAGCTGAAAATTAGGGACGGTTAGCACAGATAGCCAACTCTTCACTAGCTTTGCGCAAATAATTTTGAAACAAACAAACCTATTTTAGCAACACATTCTGCATGATAATTGGTAAATGCGTTAAATACACATAAGGTTTTAACTCTTATAGATACTATGTGGATATGACCGATGGCAAAAGATTTAATATTCAAATTATTTTTATGATGATACAAAGGTTTGTTCACTCTATTTATTTTATGTGGTTATAACTTCTCTTCCGAAACCGCAAGAAAATTCAATAATTTCTGTACTATTTTCAATGTTCTGTTTTAAAATAGCCTATAATTCATTGATAAATGAAATTTTGAGTTGAATCTGAAATAGTTAATTAGAATCAAATGCAGAAACAGAACATTTTCAAGCCAGAGATTGTATAAGTGTATCTGTGTGAGTCTAGACAATGAATAATGAAAAAATAAACAATCATGCCCTCATTGGCTCAGCGGTAAGTCTTAGGGTTATAATACTAAAGATCGGGTTTCAATACCCGTGATGGGCACAGCCCACCATGTAGCTCTGCGCTTAGCATCAAACCTACAAACGAAGTCGTAATTTTTATAACGTGCTCTTAACCAAATTTAAGAGCTTCTTTATGCTAACTTATTCAGAGACAACCAAATGAGCTATCAAAATAGCGAATGAGATATATATGGTCGAACTAATTATGCTTGACAAAGATAGTTGGGATCAACATAATACGTATGAGCAATGTTTAAACCAGGCTTTTAAGTTATACGTTTCATTCGAAGATTTCACCATTTAAACTATTTAATTGTCACAAAGATAGACTAATATATTAAAATTTGTGTATCGAAACTACTGCTTGTTTTAATAATTGTAAAGATCGAAATTTAGCAACAATAAAATTTCTAACCTTCTTTAGACAGAGACATTAGCAGGAATATATACTTGAAACTATAAGCTCACACACTTTGGACTGCGCAATAACAAACATGCCTTACGAAACATATTTAGAAGATGGGTAAGACGGAGAAGAATAGAGAAAGACAAGAAGGAAAGTAAATGGGAAATGACGAATAGAAAATATGTTCATGTAATATCTTAAAACACCTGTAGCCACAAAGTGACCATAGGAGAGGTATTTGATGAGAACAGTGTTGAAATGGTGCAATAAGTACAAGAAATGATAAGGCAGAGGCACCAAAGCCTTTTTAATTATTTAAGTTGGAGAGAAGCACGAAAATAGGATTTCTCATCCTTGTAAATGCCAGCATTTAATGCTGTCAAATGCTTGAACCTAGAAACACAGAGACTCTAGCATCTATCCTGAAAATCGCTGTCAAGGAATACATTTTGGTCTATTTAACTTTCTATTGTGACATTCTAACATAAGAAAAAATGGACTAGTTTCTTTAAATCCTCTCCTGAGAACGGGAACAAAATTTGAAGTGATTAATCAGAGGGAAGGTAGCTAGTCAACGCCACCCACTGTTAACTTTTATGCTAATTTTAAAGACAAAACAGTGGGATTGATTGTGACATTAAAATATCCTCACTGTTGGATGTACGAGGATGTTTAGGGATGGGTTTCGATCCCCAAGCCTGTAGGCTGCAAGATGAGCGCCCTAACTATCAGGCTATACTAGGCCCAAAAATTGTAATAAGGATGAAAATGAGATCAAACAGAAGAGAGCAGAATTCAGTAAGACTACCTCAGAATTCTAGCAAAAAACAGAGAGCAGTATATAAACAACGTGGAACAATTTTTGTCAACAATTTAATCCAGCAGTATGCCAAACTAATTTTGGAAACTGGTAAAATTTGTGAAATGGGGGGGGGGGGCTCTGTGAAATGTGTATGAAAGAAAGTTAAATGATAGAATTCAACAAGGGCACTGAAGAGATGGAAGAGAATCAATTGAGTAACAGATAAGGATTCCGCATTAGGCCTACATGTTGCACATTACACCAAAATCGACACTTTATCCTATGAAGAGAAAGTAGATCTAACTGAAATAATGACATTATAATTGGTGGAGAGTAAAATAGAGAAGGACCTCAGAGACTGTTCAGTTCCAGTGTTAGGCTGTTTGGTCTGACATATGCCTACAATCAAGTGGATACTGGCATTTTGGTAACGTAGCTAAAATACATGAACGTCTCAGGCATTCTCATACGTTGACTATTGCCTATCCTGGACACAAGGTGCTATAAGCTGAACTTTACCGATATATCTGCAATAGTCAACGTTGCCAGTGTAGAAGGCCATGTGATAATTTGAAATAATGAAATAATGTAAATGCATTATCAGTTGATGAATAAAAAAGGCTACTTTCATCTCTTTTTTTTTCTTATGTGTGGTTCATACGTTATCAACTGGAGTAAACAATGCAACACATTTCTATGAATAATTCCCAAGATCAAATTGTGACCACTATCAAAACAGTTATAGTCTTTTTCAGGACTTCTTTGAACACAGAAGAAGATTATTAGTTAGAACGTAGGATAAAAATAGTTAGTAATTAATTTCTTGTTATAAAAATTTGTTACAAATTAACAATAAGACTTAGGAGATAATAGTGGCTACTAACCATGAAAACGACAATCCATTCAGAGCAGAATGTGAAGCATACGAGGACAAACTTGTTTGGTTGACCAGTAACAATGAAGGTCATAACAGAACCATACTCATGACAGACACCTCAAACCATATTACAAGATGTAAGAAGAGTTTGAACAAAGAAGATTTGTTAAGCATTTAAGAGACTTGATGGTTCATCTGATAATTACTAGCTGTATAGTTCAAGCCACTCCTAGCTGATAATGCAACTTTGGTCAACTTCACAAGATTATTGAATGATATCATCAGTGATGTTGGTTGAAGAATGAGGGAACAGAGAACGAGGGTGGTGTTAAACCCCTTTAGAATTTTAATAAATAAATAATTATTT